TGAAATCGGCATTGATAGTACTTGCTTAGCCATCCGTGCTAAAATCGGAAACGTTCTTTCTTTTGACTTCCACCAGTTTAGAACGTCAAAGTCATCATTTTCTTCAAAATCAACTTCATATGTTAAATACAAAGTAATCTCATTCAATGCACTTTGTTCAGTGACGTGAGTTGTTTTTGTTTTTTTCATAAGATTGTCAAATGCAGATTTAAAAATCGATTTTCCTTTAGATGAAGATGTTCGTGACGGCGGAGGGGGAGCATTGCTATATTGTGCACGAAACTCATTAAATAAGGCATAAAATAAAGCACTAACCTCGTTGTATTCCGTTTTCGGATCTATGGGGTTATCGTCATACATTGGAAATTCACCAAAAAATGCAAGATAATAGAAGTTGAAACAATCTTCCAAATTAGCAAGTCTATAACGAGGATCGAGAATAAATGCAATACCATAAATATGGGGAATATGCGCATAATATTTTAAAAACTTTTCCTTCATATAATCACAAAAATAATGAACGAAAACGGCATTCTCAAATTCTTTAAAAGCACCGGCGAGATTAACAGCTTCACGAATAAATTGGTTTGCGGTAGGTTTATAAACATGACTAAAAGTTTCAGTAGCATTAAAAAAAATCAAAACATTACAAATTTTTTCGCAAGTGTCGATCTCAGGCGCGTTTATAATATAGTTATCATGTTGTTTTAAAAAAGCAGGAAAATGTTCTTTATATCTAAGAACAACTTTAAGTAATTTATAAGTACTATTCCAACGAATACTCAAATCTTTAGGAAAAGCAACATATCTCACACCTCTTTCAGTCAAATAAGTTTGTCATTTTAATCTAAGTTGACCATTACCCCAAATACGTCTAATCCCCCCTTGATTACCTCCATGGAATCTCCTAACGCTTTTAAACCGTCTTGCACACATAAATTTATAACATGGCATGCACAGCGTTGATGAAAAAATCTACCCATCAAAGTATTGGCATACACCTATTTTGTAACATTTGTAAATTATAAATCAAACCACTTTTCTAAGTACAAATAGTTTTAGTTTTACTTAATTCATTAAATTAATTAATTTATTTTACAATATGTATAACTTCAAAAAAAAATTGAAATAAAACCTCCCAAACGGCTATATAGCCGTTGGGGCTATGGGTGGGGGGCAGGGGGGTCCCGGGGGTGGTGGTGTGGGGAGTGGGGTTCAAAAACATCTATAAATACATCTATTTTCTAACATTTTTCTACACCTCTTCTCCAACTCTTCTCCATCTTCATCTTCTCTTATTATCCTACATTCCTACAATCCTACTTATACATATACCATTTTAAATATGGAAAGTACATCTTCCCTTATGCAAAACAATTTTGACAAGTGGAAGGACCCGAAGACCGGACTGTGGTGGGCAACTTGCAGGTGGTGCAAGAAAGAGTGTTGCTTGGGGCGTTCACACGGATACGGGATGCCAATAAAATATATGAAGTCCTGTGAGGCTGTGACAAAGGGAAACAACAACCAACGGTGGCGGAAATCCCAATTGATATTCATTAGAAAATGTATTTCGTATTATTATTTTTTTCTCAATTCTCAAATGTAGTTCCTATTTCAAATAAATGCACTTGAACTTTGTTTTTAATATGAATTTGTATAATATATAATTAATTTTAAAAAAAAATACTGGCCCGACCCTGCCCGGCGGGTGGCCCGACCCGTGACCCGCCCGGGTGGCCCAGCCCGATCCGAAACCGGTCATTGCCCGGGCCGGTCCCGGGCCTACATTTACCAGACCCGAGGCCCGACCGGGCCTTGGCCCGGCCCGGGTCCATCACTACTCGTGCTTATCCTCAAATTCTTCAACTACTGGCGGTGCTGACCGGACAACACCGCCACTTCCAAGTTTGTTGGAGCAGCTTCATCCACGTCCAATCGTCCATACTTGCCTGTGCCCCCTCCTCGCTAACCTTCTCAGTGACCCTGCGCTTTCTTGGTGCTTCCTGAGCTGTAGCAATATCCTTGCCCTTTGATAGGAGTCCTTCCATCATATAGCTCTCATGTTCACTTATCGCTTTATTGGAATCTGCTCCCTCACGACTCCTGGTTTGTTATTGCTAGAAATGAGCCACCTGTTACCCGGATGCGATCCACCTTGCCTCGTATCAGCTCGTAATAACCATGACACATAAGTCTTCTCCCGATCCATGCGTCACTATGCTGATTAGAGGGACAAAAAGGATCAGCATGACCAAGAATCCCACACAAGAAACAAAAATTTGTGAGTCTCTCATAATGAAAGTTTGCCCAGATCCAGCTATCCCCCTCCTGTCTCACCTGTAAGCCTAGTCAAGTAATATTAATAGTGACTCTTATGCGCAAGACCAGTCTTAGTTTTCTGCCAAGAGAGCCCTCATCTACTTGCACCAGCGATCCAATGCAATTAGCTATTCCACGAGCTGCCCTTGTCGTCATGTAGCTTAACGGTAAGTTATGAACCTGGACCCAAACCTCCACATGATCCAGTGGGACCTTAAGAGGCCCGTCAGTACGCCCCACACGTTCGATGACCACAAGATTTTGCTCAAAGGACCAAGGCCCTTCATCAACAACTCTGCTTAGATCTCCTTCATGATAGAACTGTAGAAGGAATTTGGAATCCTCAATCTCATCAATTGAAACTCCCTTGATTGGTCGCCAAACCATAGCTATTGTTTGAAAAAAAGAAACAACAAGAATGGGTTTGTCCGATACCACTCTGGCCATAGCCACTAGACAGAGTCCCTCTTTAGTTCTGTCAGCATTTTCTACCAGATCGGCTGCGAGCACCAAGTCCCTATTCTCCTCCTCAGCAATAGATATCATACTACAATTCTTCGTGATCATTTCGATAGTAACACAATCCACACCCACAAATTGACCAAACCAAAACAACCGAAGAAAAGCAAAATTGTAAAGAACAGAACCCACTTGCAATCCACTTCAATTGGATTTGCAACAGCACCAGAAAATCGGATCACACTAAACAAAGCAACTAAGCCACTTGCAAACTAAACAAACGAAGATGTGCTGCCCAACCTATAATCGGATCTAAAAACAGCACCACAAAGTCTCGGCCACACAGACCCGGAAACAAACGCGGGACAAAACGCCCGGAGGAAACACAACGATCGAACAAGAAAATAAATAAGAAGAAACCTGAACGTTGTCACCTTCACCAAACTGAATCGCCCCGGAGAAGCCACTCAAGTCTGCCGATCCAGGATTCTGCTAGGGTTTGCGGCGGCCGCATCTCTCGAATCATATTTTCATCCGTTTTAAGTGAAATGATATTAATTACAAACTTCTTACCAAAAAGGAAACATGATATCCATTTTGGGACAAGCTAAAAAAGAAATTAAGACAACCAAGATAGACTGGAGTAATAGTTATGTAACATTATGTTTTCTCTCGAAATACGAGTTAATTTACCAATTATCGTCATCCTTATACGATGGTATAACATTGGCATGTTTTTCGTACAACCAGGCATCACAATGACAACATTAATGCATAATCGGCCGATTTCCGAATCAGGATAAAATACTTAAATACAAAGAAAGAAATACTCTGTATCCCATTTCTGTTTTAAAATTTGGGCCGTGTTTTTAAATCCGTTAAGATCAATTTCTTGATACGAATGTGCCTGAGCCATTACCTAATTAGTAATCAGCAGATCTTTTTACCTACTCACTGCTACAAATAAACAAGTACTCCGTAATTAAGTAAATATGTTTCTGTAACCCGCCAAACTAGTGAGGGTCTGTTTGCAACTGCTTTTAAAAAAGCACTTCTCAGCTTTTGGCTTTAAAAAAGCACTTATTTTCCCAAACACTACAACTTTTATTTTTCTCGGCTTCCGCGTCAAAAGTGCTTTTATATTTTCTATTATACAAAAAGCACTTAATTTACCAAACACTACCCTCTTTTACTTTTCAAAATCACTTTTTTCTCAAACACTATCAACTTTTATTTAATCACTTCTCCCCATTTCATTAAAAAAAGCACTTTTTTAAAAGCAGAAGTTGTTGCAAACAGACCCTGAGCCGATCAAGTCAAGAGTCAACTATTTACTATTCGCTACTTCGCTAAGAAATCAAAGCCTTCAGTTATTAGGCCACGATTGTTTAAATTTGGACCAATTGTTCGGGCAAGATTTTTAATTAAATGATGCACGAATTCATGAATTTAATTTAATACGGAGTATACTTTTAACAATGTACTGTACATTATACCTACACCTGCACGTAAGGTAGTGATTTTGTTTTTACTTCTTTTTTAAAGCAGAAACAGAATCTGAATCAAAAATCGGTTTTCAAAAGTTGATTTCCCCCATTTTTTAAAAAAAACTGGTTTTAGGAGTAGAACCAGATTTCTGAAAGAACATAAGCAGATTTAAGAATCAGATCCAAACACCTCTTAATCGTTTAACCATTAAGTCGTGTTTATTAATAATCAGACAATGCAAAATAACGTAAATTTATTGTATTTACATTTTTAAAATGGTCCACTTTTATTACTTGGATTGGATGAGGGTATGACTTTGGAGAGAGCAAAATGGAGGGCGGGTATTCGTGTGGAGGAGTGATCTTGTATCATCTTTTCCCCTCTTTTTTTCTCTTTTTTTTCTTTTTCTTTTATATTTTTATCCTTATATATATATATATTACTTTATCCTTTTTATTTTATCTTTTACATGTATATTCATCTCTTTTATCTTATCTTTTTATCTTTATTTTCATGTTTTCCCTTTTGATGATATCATGTATCGATTCATGTTAGCTGACCCCAATATCGTTTGGGACTAAGACTTGGATGTTGTATTGACATTAATAATCTTTACTTTGCACGTGTTTAAAAAATAATTCTTACCATAAACATGTTCACAACAATAATTTCAACTAGTATTATAGGGATTATATTTTTAATACTCCGTAATAATTAGAGAATTTTATGATGTTGTTAGGTTATGTTCACCATAGATCGAATATTAGAATGTTTCTATAAATAAGCTAAGACTATTAGAACAGTTTACACGTTCACATAACTGTATACTCGGTATATTTTTACTGCATCTATCCAGCCTGCAGCCAGCTGCTACTAGCTACAACTCTCATCCAACCATGGCAGTAAAAAAACCTTTGAAGCTTCGAATTTCCAGCCTCATCACTTACCTCCGATCATGCAATTCCAAACCCACCACCATCTCCGCCGTTAATTTCCCCGTCAGTAAACCTCCTTCTAATTCACACACCCACCACTCTTCCTCCGCCTTCAAGCGTCACCTTGCCTCGTCCGCCGGCTGCCGTCCAACGCCCCTCTCCGGCGGAGACTACCCCCCTGCATCACGGCAGCCGCAAGAGTTCATCTGGAGGAAAGAGGAGAAATGGCACGTGGTGTTTCCTCCGCCGTCAACGGCGGGAAAAAAGAAACGCCGACCAAGAAAGAAGAAACCAACCGCCGCAGCCGCCGCGATAATGCTCCGACCAAGCACGTCGTCCTCGGAAGAGGAGACAGAAACTCTGTTCTCTTCTTCCAGAACATTCTCGACGGATTCTTCGGGAAGGTCCAAAAACCGGCGCTCCACCTCAAGACGGAGATTATCGTCGGCGTCATCGTCGGAGAGCGAGATGCCGGCGGCGAGGCTATCGGCGTTCAAGAAGCTGATTCCGTGCACCGTGGACGGGAAAGTGAAGGAGAGCTTCGCCGTGCTGAAGAAGTCGCGGGACCCACAGGGCGATTTCAAGAGATCGATGATGGAGATGATCGTGGAGAAGGAATTGTTCGAGAAGAAGGAGCTGGAACAGCTTTTGGAGTGTTTTCTGTCGCTGAACGGGAGGCAGTACCATGGGTTTATTGTCGGAGCTTTCTCGGAGATTTGGGAAGATCTGTTTTGCTGATTACCGAACAACGTTGATTGTTCCGGTCCCCGGACGGTCGTCTGTTTGGTCAGATCAGTGTTCCTAGCTATGGAAGATTAGATATTTAGATATAGCTCTAGCCTGTGTAAAGATCGATCTACGTTCATGGTCATCATATCATTTCTACTGCACGTATTAGTTCTGTTTGACTTTTCTAACTGATCATAGGATTTTTCAAAAAAAAAAAAAACTGATCATAGGATTAAAATTTAAAATTTGGATTTAGTTACAAAATTATCCGAGATTAACAAATATGCTATCCTGTCTTCATCAACTAATTTAAATAAAGAAATTGTTTAAAATAGATGTAATTAAAATAAAGAAATTGTTTAAACACATACAAAAATTCTAAAATAAGACCAAATATAATTTCCTCAAAACTAAAAGTAAAAAACTAATAAAAAAATAAAACAAATGTGTCTTATTTAAAGAAATGCATTACTTCCTCATTCCAAGTGTGTCATAACTAGTTATACTATCCGGCCCTGAAAATTTTGTCGAAAGTTTGATTGGAAATAATAAAGTTTTTAACGAATAGAGGTAGCATGTTTTAAACATAAACTTATGGTTGATAAAGTCATCAAATTATAACTTGAATCCATTAATTGCATTAAATTAAGTAATTGACCTTGAGTCCAATTCTAATCCTTCTAAAGAGAAGTATCTAACACAAGTTCTAGATGAGAGTTCTAGTTAGAGATGACAATGGGGCGGGGTACACTCCCCCATCCCTGCCCATCCCCCGTTACTCTCAGACTTGCCCCATCCCCGCCCCACCCCGTTGTCCCCCACGGGTGCCAGCAGGTGCCATATATAGATTTAATTTATCGTTTTTGCATATACTTTTAATCCATTATAGACATATATGATGCAGTTTCAATGAGAACGATGTTTAACGTGAGAACACTCACATTTAATCTAATGTGATACACAATAGAGCCCTTCTAGTGCACATTTGGCCCTTGCTCAATACAAGCTAATATAAACAATAATGACGACACTTTTATAAATATTATGCTTGATACGAAAAAGTGCATTGTGAAAGTCTCATTGTGCGTCACATTGGGGTAAATATGGTGTTCCCACGTTCTCACGTTAAGAATTGTTTTCATTTGATCCTAATACACACACACATGCAACACTGAAGTATTGTGTTTGTTAAAAGTTAATACTGTCAATTTTAATTATTCTTCAATTTTGAATAAGTTTTGTGAATTGAAGACAGTCAAAGTAAAAATATACGTAATCAACATATTATTATCATGTAGGTCGTTCCAAAATTGTCAACAATTACAATACAATTAATTACATGTTACATATGAATATGGGTGTGTTTATTTATTCACTTTCTCACTCTTAAAACTCATATAAAATTTATGATAAATATTTTTAATCATTACTAGCTCATTATTATTCTAGTATAGAATGTATTAATTCATTAATCCTGACTAAAACGTATACAATTATGGATATATGTCTATATGTATATGTGTTTGTGATATACTACATATAATTTAATATGATTGTACATTCTTTATATATATGTATACATATGTTTGTGAATATATTTATAATGGGGGATTGGGCGGGTGTGGCAATTCCCGTCCCCGCCCCATATTTTAACGGGTTAGAAATATCTCATCCATCCCCACCCCGCCCCATCCTCCCCCCACGGGGCTGTTCCCCACGGGTCCCTGCCCCCATTGCCATCCTTAGGTCTAGTAGCCGCCGGGCTAGATGGAGTAAAAATATACTTCCCCCGATTTTTAATATTTGTAACATTGACATTTGTATACTATTCACACACATTGCTTTGATCATATGTTTATACTAATATATACGATCAAATTATTATAGGAGTATATAAAGCGTTATTAAATTTCTATAAATGTGATTTTCTAAAATGTTAACTATTTATAATGTTTACTAGCTAATGCGTAAGTAAATATAACTATAGTAAAATTTGTGTGTTGACCAATTTGAAAGTGAAACTGTTGCAATTTAAAAAAAACAGACACAAATAGGACTAAAACATACTTCCTTCGTCCCAAAATGGTTGGCCAAATTTCCTTTTTTGATCGTTCCAAAAAGGTAGGCCATTTCCATTTAAAGTAAGAAATATGTGGCTAAAGTTAATTCTCTCTCCTCTGTAAAAATTTCAACCACACAGTTTTTACTATATTAATCCACGTGCAAGTCAACATTGGCCAACCATTTTGGGATGGAGGGAGTACGTTGTAACACTTTCCCATAGATAAGAGTTCATCCCTAATCTCCCCTAAATAAGAGTAAACGTTAATTTTCTACCGATAATACTTCTAATCTAATTAATTAATATAATTAGTTACTCTCTAATCTAAATGTCTAAATAATTAACACATTTGTGGATTTAATCTATTTTTACTGTTTAGCAAATCATTATAGTCCGTATATGTGTGTGATGAGGTGATCTACAAAAGCACGCAAGCTGATGTGATATGATGGAGAAGAGAACCCTACCACTGAGGCACTGATCCAAATATTCTGCATGCATGGAACTAGATAAGGCGTGCTGCTGTTCATCACTCGTGCTCACGTTATATTGCTCCACATTTATCTACTGACTTTTTCCCCGAAATAATGTTAATTAAATAAATAATTCTCAAAATACCGCTGAGTTAAAAATAATTCTTAAAATAATACTGTGTTAACCGTGGTCAAGCTTTCTCTATGCAGTACAAGAGCCGCAACTTCAAGTGGCGGCTTATTCAAAAAAATTCGCAACACACTTACGTACCATGTATGCCAAAGTGTAACAATAAATGCAATGGGACCCATCCAAAATTAGAAAACCCATGTTTTCTTTGAACTGTTGTAACTTTTTTATTTGTACTCTGATTGTTACAAAAAAATTACCAAAATTCATATTTTTTATTATCTTTCATATGACACCAATATTGAATATATAAAATCAAAAAATAATTTAACACTTTAAAAATTACTACCTCCGGCCCTAAATAAACTTCTCGTACGGTTTACGATGTTTGATTGACGATAAAACAACTTGATCCCTGCTCACACTCGGATTATTTTTAGTGAATAAAATTTACATATTAAGAAACTACATTAAAACCGCTACAAATCGCCTTCGAGAGAGGTTTTGGTTTGGGATCGTTTTTTGTCATGCACATAATTAATAAACTACACAAATTAATAGATTTTGTTTTTATTTTTCCATATGAAACATTGCTTGCTAATAAAAGATAATAAAAAATAATAAATAAAAACAATAAAATAGAAAAATAAAAACAAAATCTATTAATTTGTGTAGTTTATTAATTACGTGCATGACAAAAAACGATCCCAAATCAAAACCTCTCTCGAAGGCGCTTTGTAGCGGTTTTAATGTAGTTTCTGAATATGTAAATTTATTCACTAAAAATAATCCAAGTGTGAACAGGGATCGAGTTGCTTTATCGTAAACCGTACAAGAAGTTTATTTAGGACCGGAGGTAGTAATTTTTAAAGTGTTAAATTATTTTTTGATTTTATATATTCAATATTGGTGTCATATGAAAGATAGTAAAAAAATATGAATTTTGGTAAATTTTTTGTAACAATCAGAGTACAAATAAAAAAGTTACAGCAGTTCAAAGAAAACATGTGTTTTTTAATTTTGGATGGGTCCCTTTGCATTTATTGTTAGACTTTGGCATACATGGCGGCTTTGCTTGACCACTGTTAACACAGCAGTATTTTGGAAATTATTTTTAACGCAGTTGTATTTTGGGAATTATTTATTTAATTAGCATTATTTCTATGCTGATGTTCTTTAAAAGTTGTAACATTGTAATTTTTGCACTATTCATATACCTTAATTTGACCATGATTTTTTAATAAGATATATCATCAAATTATTGTGTATAAAATGATACTCCCTCCGCCCCTCTGTTATTGTCTCATTTCCTATTCACTTGGTAAACACAATTCACTCTTAATCGCTTACTTTAGGGGGTGTTTGGATCTGATTCTTAAAACTGCTTCTGCTCTATCAGAAGCTAGAGTATTTGGGTGAAAGTGCATAAGTGATTCTGGTGCTCTAGTTTACTCCTAGAATCGGTTTTTTCAGAATTGAAGTTGAGGGTGACCAGCTTCTAAAAACTGATTCTGATTATGCTTCTGCTTTAAAAAAGAAGGAGAAGCAGAATCAGTTCCAAACACCCCCTTATATATATATATATATATATATATATATATATATAAATATATATATATATATATATATATATATAAATATATATATATATATATATATATATATATATATATATATATATCAAATTTGATATATCAAATTTTTATCAAATTTGATTCTGGTTTTTGCGACTTTCTAAAGTTTTTAATGTAGTTTCTCAATATTTAATTTCTTTCTAAAAATAATTTGAGTCCGAACAGGGATTTGTTTGCTTTATCGTCGGTCAAGCATCATAAGCCGCAATGAGACAATAAAAGGGGGACGGAGGTAGAACTAAATTTCTATTAACGTGAACTTCCAAAGTACTAACTTTTTATAATGTTTACTAATATGTGATTAAATATAAAGGAAAAATATAGAAAAAGTACGTGTGGTTTTGGTCATTTTCATAGAGGGGCACATGTTTCATTTTTTAACAAAGTGAGACATGTGGTTCAATTCCGTTATCATAGCTGGGGCATGGCGTCTAACGTCGTCAGAAAAATTAATTCCGATTTCAAAAGTCTCTGAAAAATCAAAAGAAAAATACTAAGAGGTGCGCGTCGTCAAAAAGAACAACAAACTAAACTAGAAATAGTTATGGTCAAAATTGTGCATTGATAAATTATAACTAGTGTATTAAAGAACACGATCTATATATATATGAGTTGTTTCGAAATTGAAAAAAAAAAGATGACACCCCATCCCTGAGGGCCCCCCAACACCGACCGGACGGCACGATGGGAGGATGTAAATTGGACTATAATCACAATCTGACAGATAGAGAGTGGGGCTCTGTCCCCGGTACTTGCGGAAGCTCTATGCATTTTTCAGCATAGTAACCCCTCATCGCAGTTGCCGGAATTCGAACCCGAGACCTAACCCTTGTGGCACTCCCTCGCTACCAGTTGAGCTACGC